CACTTTCATCAACTTTTATGGACTCGTAGCTACTTTCAGCACCATCTCTGTTGCTCTGCTTTTAATCGTTTACACTTACATCAAGATTTTGATCGTGTGTTTTTCTGGGTCCAGACAGACCCGACAGAAAGCCCTCAACACGTGCACGCCTCATCTGGCGTCCATCTTGAACTTCTCCTTCGCCGGCAGCTTTGAAATATCACAGAGCAGATTTAACATGAGCTACCTGCCCAACGTGCTGCGGGTTTTCCTGTCCTTGTATTTCCTAACAGTCCAGCCTCTTTTTAATCCTCTCATGTACGGCCTGAAAATGTCCAAAATCCGCAACGTTTGCAAAAACCTGATACTGAATGTTCTCCACTGACATGAAGCTGCTTAAATGAGAAACTTTAAATGTTTATTGGTTTTATAAAATGTTAACAAAAACACTTTGAGTCAAGTTTTCAGTTTGTCTCACTTTAATTAATCAAAATGAATTTACGTGGAGGGACAGAGATGTTGATGAACTCTGATGTGAAAGTGTCACCAACACTGATAACCACACGTTTTATGTTATTTTAAACCTGAGATTCAATATGATATTAATAAAAAACAGGAATGTTTGTGTTCACGTTCTGTAAACATTTTAACACGAATCCAGCTGCCAGTTGTCATTTTCTTGTGTTTAGTTTAACAAATAAAACTCTGGGAGTTGACTCCACCAGGGCTGCATGTTCTCACTGATTCTGTTCATAACTTTTATGAACAGAGTTTCTAAGTGCAGCCAGGGGGGGTTTGGTTCGTTGGTCTCAGGATTATGTCTCTGCTGTTCGCAGACGATGTGGTCCTGTTGGCGTCATAGTGCCATGATTTCCAGCTCTCACTGGAGCGGTTCACAGCTGAGTATGAAGTGGTTGGAATTGGGATCATCTGAGGTCGTGGTCCTCAGTTGGAAAAGGGTGATCTGTCCGCTCGGGGTTGGGAGTGAGGTGCTGCCTCCAATGGAGGAGTTTATGCATCTCATGGTTTGTGGGAGTCCATTATTGAAGTTTGAACTAATTAGTATTGAATATTTGCAAGGACAGACAATCACTGAGGGAACTCATTCCTCAAATCAGCATGGACACAATTATTTTAATGTTGCTTCTGCCGCCACCACTTGGTCAGTTGCCTCCCCATCTCCTGATTCACTCCTATCTGCTGAGAACCCTTTATTATTTTTATTCACATAGTATTTCTTTAGCTGAGGAGTAATGGACAACAAAACTTCTCTTGGTTTTGTTTTCCTCTTGCTGACATCTATAGTTTTGTGAACATCCATACACACAATGGTAATAATGCCCCTCCTCTTTAAACTTTTATGGCATATGAGTCAAGCTCAAGTCCCAGGGGCCAAATGTGGCCCCCAAGATGATATGTGAAACGCAAAGTATTTCTATCTCTTGAATTTTTTCAGTAATCTTTGATTATGATGTCGAAAGCACAACAGAGAACATCAAATGAGACCAATCAAACTCTTGTTGAGGAACCTGTGACCAAGAAAAGATGTTGGGTATTTGATTTGAGTTCATGTAGATTCTGAAATCAGAGTCAGAGTCAGAGAGATCTATTTGTCATTCGCATCTCATGTGGTACATGTGGTGGAACGAGATTATGTACACAGGGTCCCAGTTACATCCCACAATAAAAGTAAACGAAAAAGAAAAACAGTAATTAGATCTAAAATATGAACTAAGAAAAACAATAATAATAAATAATACACTAAGCGGGCAGCACAGTGGCACAACTGGTAGAGCTGCTGCCTCTCAGCGAGCAGGTCCTTGGTTCAAACCCCGGTCCAGGGGCCTTTCTGGGTGGAGTTTGCATGT